ACGCTAACCCTAATCTAAAAGAACTTTAAAGAATTTTTCGATCGTCACGTGACTGTGAAATTTTGTTGGCGCACCTGGGTAAGATCATTGTTTCCAAAAATGTCGAACATTGATACATCGTTCCAGCTTTGGTTTTTAAAACTTCATCTGTTTTACTTTACCTAAATATAATAATTCTATATTAAGATTTCATCATCAGAAGAAATGGCTCAAGGAGAAACTTTTAAGCCTGGCGAACCATACACACATCGTCTTAGCAAAATTCTTGAAGAATATCCAGACGGGTCTCAAATTATTCGTGAAATTCTTCAAAACTCCGATGACGCCAAAAGTAGTTCTCAGGTCTTTATACTTGACCGTAATTCTTATAAATCTAAAAGCCTGTTAAAACCAGTGAAAAAAAGTGATAAAACAAACTTAAAATTGGACCGTTATCAAGGTCCCGCTCTTTTAGCAAAGAACGATACAATTTTTGAAGAGCGAGATTTTGATTCTTTAAAGAAATTAGCTAATAGCGAAAAGTATGATCAATTTGATAAAATTGGTGGTAAAATAAAAATTCAATTTCTTTTTTACTTTATGCCATAAAAAAAAACTCAGTAAATTTGATTGATATCTCTACTTCAACAAAATTTAGTTATGGGAGTAGGCTTTAATAGTGTTTACCATATTTGTGATACTGGTAAGTTAGTTGAAATACTAATTAAATGTTTTCTTGAGCCTAAACTTACCATTTCATTTTAATACATAGTCCAACTTATCACTGGAGATAATTTTCTTATTCTTGATCCACATGAGAATTATTTTGATGGTGGAATAAAAATTGACTTTATTAAAAATAACACTGCTACACACCATTCGGATCAATTTGCCCCTTTTCGCATTCCATGCGATCAAAGATTTAATGGCTCCTTATTCCGTTATCCTCTTCGCACCGCCCAAGATGCATTAGAATCGGAAATTTCCAAAAAGGCTTATAGTCCAGATCAAATTTTAGAAATCTTTAAAACTTTCTATGAAAATGAAAGCGTTAATTGCCTTTTATTTTTGAAATATATTGAAAGTATCAAGTTTTATGAACTTGGTGAAAATGAGACTGAACCCAAATTGCTTTATTCTATCGAAATCGTGAACCCTGAGCAAATTCGAGCAGAACGAAGAAAAATCGCGGAGAGTATTGGACCTATGATGGATTCTCTTACTAAGAAAAAAATTTCAAAAATCTCTATCATAGAGACTATGCTTATTGCTGAATTCCGCCGAAAAAGAGGCGATGATAATCCTCAAATAGATCAATGGATCATCTTTGCTTGGCTTGATGATTTGAATGCTGCAGAAAAACATTTTCAAAATAATTTTAAGAGATCCATTAGTTCATATAAATTCATTCCAAACGTTGGAATCGCATTACCACTTAATGATAGAGAGGCCATTGGAAGACTATTTTGCTTCCTTCCTCTTCCCATAGTAACTCCATTTCGCGGTTCTGTACATGGATACTTTGCGGTATAGTTAATAATATTTTTGGTCTTACTTTAGTATTAACATTTCACCGATAAATTGGTCTGATTTTGAGCTAATTTAATTGCCTGAAATGATTATGGCGAAGTATACCAGAATTTTGTTTTGTACTAACATGAATTTACTAATTTATTCTTTAAAGGTTAGCACAAATAGACGCACGCTCTGGACAGCTGCAGATAGCGAGGATTTGGTAAGCTATTGGATTTAAATTATAGCAATGATAATTATTGTCTTCGATTATATATATATTTGTCTTTTCATTACAGGCTTACCATTCGTCTGCTAGGCTCAAAGTTTCATGGAATATATACCTTTTTAATACTGTCCTTCCGAAAGCTTGGGCAAAATTTTTGGCTAGACTTCCCATCGAGGTACCAAAAATCAAAAAATCGGAATTTTATGATTTTTGGCCTATTGTTCAAAAATCTATTTCTGGAAGTTCTACCAATTTCTTTGAAAGATTATTGCTTAGTACTATTGAAAGTCTTACCATTGGTGATGAAGTTTTTTGTGGACCATCGGTTTCGTACGCGCTTGGCAATGTTGATGGAATATCTCAAAGGAGCTTTACATCACATGAAACTGAATTTCATTTGTTATCAATCGATAATGGATATCTTCCTGATGAATTGGCAATTGATGAGATTTCAAAAATCGTTGGAAGTATAGGATTTCCTGTGATTAACATAAAGTTAGAAGTGAAAGATGGACTGAAAAAATCACGGCACAAAGATTCCTTGAAATATTTTTCTCCTCAAATAATTAGAAAATATCTGCACAAAAATAAGGAAAAATGGGAAGCTCAATTATCAAGAAAAGAAAAATTATCCTTGCTTTCATATATACTCGAAGATAAAAGTTATATTGAATTAGATGGCCTGTCAATGATTCCGTTAGCCAATAAAGATTTGGGTACCTTTTCAAAGAATACAAGCTACATTATATATATTGGTCCAGATAAAGATCAAAGACTTGGTATTAATGATGAGCGAAATATTTTTAAGAATAGCTTAAATAAATTTATTGATAAAGATATTCCTCGTAAACTTTGGAATCAAATTTATGAAGGTACAATGAGTAGATGGGGCCTTAATATTAAGATTTTGACGACTACAGCAATAGCTGATCTAATAACTAAATCATTGGAAGGATACACTAATAACATTGATGAGATCCCATTAAAGAATTCTCGTGAATGGATTAATCAAATATGGTATAATTTTCTTGAAAGACAGTACAATTTAGATAATTTTAAGGACATCCATCTTTTACCGACAAATAGAGGAACACTTCGTAAAATAAAAACAATTCAGAAATGTTTTTGGAATAGTATTGATAATAAACTCGAAAATAAAATTCAACCACTTATCCAGAAATTTGGAATTGTATTTGTTGACAAAGAATTCGAGAAACATGATGTATCAAATTGGAATGAGTAAATATTTTAAGTCTTATCATAAATTTAATACATTAAATCTTTCACGTAACTTATTATTTATATTTGTCATTTAGATTATCAAAATATGTTATCGGACTTAATAATGTGACCGAAGTCCTGGAATGCATACGTGCAATTACTATATTTCCAAAGAACATACAGAAAAATCTGAACTCTCAAGAAGCAACCGAATTGATAGACCATTTATGTCGTTACTTTCGTTCTTCTAATACCAATTATTATGGTATTATTATTAAACATCTTCCAATCTTTACGGAAGTTGACAAAGATGGGCTAATTGCTCTGTCGCCTGGAACTAAAGAATGGTATCTACTTCCAACGGAAGATGAAAAAAGTTATGGGTATATTATTGCACCCAATAATATAAGTGGTTTTCTCGATGCAACTATGTCAAGTTCAAGATTTCTTATGGAAAATATTATCAATATTCCTCGATTGTCTCAACAAGAATATTGGTGCAGATTTGTTATTCCGTATCTAGAATATCAACCCACAAATGTTTTAAAAGTTGTAATTACAAAGCTTTTTGAAAGATTGATGCAATTACTTTCAGGAGATTCAAAGTTGAAAAGTATATTGGAGAAAACTGCATTTGTTCCATCCGGATCAATCCAATTTCAACCCAATGATAACACAACATATGAATTACATAAACCGATCGAGCTATATGACCCTGATAATTGGAAAATTTCTGAATTATTTTTTGATGATGAGATTGTGTTTCCTATAAAAAACATTGCTGATTATAAACATCGGATTTTGCCTTTATTAAGAGAATTAGGGATGAAAACATATCTATCATTAGACGATATCATTCAACGATTAAAAGTCATGAGCGAACGTAAAGAAATTTCAAATTTGAGAGAAATAGTACACAAAAAATCAATGAAGTTAGTTCAATATATTGATTCACATTTTGACAAACTCACTGGAGGCAAACAATTTCGATCCAATAATGTACCAACTAATAATAATAGTCAACTTCAACAATTGTCCATGATATTTTTAAATACTGAATGGATTCCCACAATCGATCATACAGGAAAACAACGATTCTCGAAGCCAGGAGATTGTCGAGACAAGCAACATAAAAATACTGTTGGCTTGATAATGCCGATTCTAGAATATTCACTTAGCAATAAATTATTTTCTACTTTGCTGAGATGGGATTCATATCCGCCAGTCGATATTGTACTCAGACAACTTAAAGCTTGTCGTTCTCAATCACGCGATCAATTATATCAGTATCATCAGAAACCTGATAAAATATGTGAATCAATTTATAAGTACATGAATGAAGCATTATTAGCCAGAGATCGAGATCAACAATCACGAATGGAAATTGAAAAATTTAAGGAAGAACTTTTATCAAATGAAGAAAATTGGATTTTTTTCAATGATCGATTTTATCCATCAAGTAGAGTGGTATTTGAACTAGATGATAGCTTAATCAGTGATGCGACAGTAATAATACAACTTCCACCGAAATATAAATTATATTATAGTGATTTATTTTCTGAAATGGGAGTTAGGCAAAAAGTAGAAATCCCTGATCTAATCAACATTATTCGAGAATTTCATAAAGACGGGAAAACTCTATCACAAGATGAAATTCATAAGATTATTGTGCTTATAGAACAAATAGCAAAAAAAAGAATCGACTCAGAACAATTAGGAAACAATGATGTTAATGGCTTAAAAGGATTATTGATTCCAAGTACTGAATGCCAACTAGTTGATTTTTATGAGATTCAATACGATGACATGGGAAGCCGATTGGAAGAAGAAAAAAAAAGGGAGTATAAGATCGCACATCCGCAAATATCATCCGCAATTGCAAGAATGCTTGGAATGCAAGAACTTGCTGGAAAATTAATCGATGAAGGTAACTATTTATAAAATAAATTTTAAACTAGTTTGAAATAGAATTAATGTAATGTGACCATATATTATTTAGGAAATGACTTTGATAATTATGGAGTGGATTATGAACAGGAAGAACCATTAGCCATCAGAATTAGTAATATTCTTAATGTATGTAAAAGATTTAGATTTATCACAGTTTTTCACTGTACTTTTTATTAATCTTCATTTCATAAACTTTAGGATTACCCTATTAATGTTTTGTTCAAGGAGTTCTTGCAAGTATGCCTTATTGTTAAAAGTACTCATGAATTTTTATACAATCGGCCATTTTAACAGGAAAAGGCTCAGACTTGTGCATGGACAAATTCTTGAAGCTTTCTAACATTTTGTATTCTGTCTTTTTTTTTTGATAATTAGAATGCAGATGACGCAGGAGCTCGAAAGCTTAGCCTGATTATTGATGAAGGTGAATTTGGAATTCCCAAAAAACTGCTTGATCAAAAGTCACATTCATTGATAACAGAAGAAATGAACGATTGGCAAGGGCCAGCTTTATGGATATACAATGATGCAGTATTTACCGAAAAAGATTTTGAGTCATTACTAAAACTTGGTGTAGGCGGAAAATCCGAAGATCACACGAAAATTGGAAAGTTTGGTATTGGAATTAATGTTTCCTTTCATTTAACAGATCTTGTCAGTTTTGTGAGTGGCGAATATATAGCATTTTTGGATCCATCAGAAAGATTTCTACCAAAAACTGGAAACCCACCTCGTCGACCTCGAGGAAAACGTATCAATTTTCTTAAAAGTGATTTTAAAAATAGATTTAAGGATCAAGCTAAACCATATACATCAATTTTTAAGAGGTGTAGTTTTACAGAAAAGTTTAATGGAACTTTATTTCGAATTCCCTTGCGAAAGAATAAAATGGTAGAAAACAGCAAGATTTCTAAGAAATACCATGATGCTAGGGATGTTTTACAAATTTTTGAAGCGATTGAGGGGAATCAAGAAATATTGTTTTTAAGAAATATCGAATATTGTAGTTTACATTACTTCAAAGATAAAACCAGGCAAATAATTTGGGAAGTTAAAATTGAAAACATAGACTCCAAAATACGTGAAAGTCGCTCATCAACATCTTATGTGCAACAAATATTTCAACTCGAGATGGAAATGAACAACAGAGATAGTAAAAGCTCAGAAATATGGTTAGTTTGTACTGGTGGAAAGGACAATAAAAAAATAATAGAATTGGAAACTATCTCTAAAGATTATAATACTCGAGTAAATATAAGAAATTTTCATTTATTATCGCAGATTATAATGAAATTGGATTAAACCGATATTTGGATTTCTTTTTAAGCCTCTAAATACCAATTATATACTTTCATTAAAAATTTGAGTTCGTAATTGTGACTAATCCTAACAAAAAAAAAAAATCGAAAAAAATTTTACCACAACATAAATTTTCTAATTTAAACAAGACAAATTTTCGGTTTAATTTTATTTCATTTTAATCTACAATTAGTAAAATTTTAAAACCATGATTATACAAGTGTTTACAATAATATATCTATTCTAATTTTAGACAAGAGGTGGAGTTGCTTCATTACTAGCTCGATCTAAGAGTAAACCATTAGTAATGCTTAAGAGAGATAAGGTATTAATATCTGCAAAACATTATTTTAGTGCTACGCGTTAAAATATCTAATGTGATCTCCATTTCAGTTTCCAAATCCACCAAAGCTTACAGGGAAACTATATTCATTCCTATCACTTCCAGTAACCACTTCTCTTAATGTTCATCTTAATGGAACATTTTTTATTTCTAGTGATAGAAGAAATCTTCTGCAATCAGAAAATAACTCTGAAAAGTCGAAATTTTTAGGAGATAAATGGAACAAACATATTTTATTTGAAATCTTACCACAGTTGCATGTTGCACTTTTGAATCGTATAGCTGAATTAGATCATCAATATCGCTTTTCAAAGTTCCAACAAGAGCAAGCGTCGCGACATAACCAATATAATGCAATCACAACTACAAATCTTTGGCCAGTTGTAGATGGACTTTCGGAAATATTTAAAAATTATGCAACAAGGGTATTAAGGAAATTGTATTTTGGCAACTCTAAAATCTGTTGGACTCAAGCAAATGGAGGAGAATTTATTTCATTTAGAGATGCATATTTGGAAGAACGCAAGAATACAGCTATTGCTGAAATTTTGGCAGCTCAAAATATACCAATTATCAAGTTGACTGATGAACAAATAAGCCATTTTAATGATTTCCGAAGGATAGATAAGGGTAGAACCATAGAACCTTTGAAAAGGATTACCGCGCAATTAGTTTCTGACACTTTTCGGAACAACCCTAATATTTTAAATGGTGAATCTCATGAAAATATATTTAAATTGCTAAAGTTTATTATTCAAGATAGGGATTTGTCTCATGAAAGCCTTATTGGATTACCATTATTGCCACTTAGTGATGGTACTATTGGAACATTCGGTGAGCGAGAGCATTATATTGCAGAGCTAAAACTACAAGAATTATTTCCCACAGCAGTGAAAAGATCAAAATTTGTGGCTGAATATCCCAAAGATATCAAAATGCTTTTTGATGACGAAAAATTTTGTACTTTAGTTAAAATCAAACGAGTAAATGCATCTTCAATAATTTCCTTATTAGAATATGAATTACCACGCGATAAAGAATTAGAATGGAATCAAAATGATCCAAAGCAACAATGGATCAATAATATATTGCGTTATTTTATACATCCAAATGCAAGTTATGATTTTTCCAAATTAGCAAGACTTCCGTTACTACCAATAATTCGACCGCAAGAAAAACTTGCTTTATTTGATTTTCAAAATCCTGTCTTAGCCTATAATGCTTCTCATCCGATGACTTCAATTCTTGCAAAATTTGGAGTTAGATTTACAACCTTAAAATTTCCGGAAGCATGTAATCAAAACTTAAAACAATGCATACTGAAAACAAATGGTATTAATGTGATGAAATGCCTTGAAAGAGCTATTTCGTCGTCTGTTATATCAGTGGAACAATTATTTAGTGAAAAATTAAATACACATGAAATCAACAAATTTAGAAATTTTGTCATAACTGAATTCAAGAGTAATTTAAGTAAATATCTTTATTCTCATTCTATTTTGTATTTTCTTGAACTAAACAGGATCCATATCATTTCACCGGCAACTTAGCTTACCAGCAATTAATTTACAGACAAGTTTATATTATCGACGATTAATTCACAGACAAGTTCATTTCACAGACAGTTATTTCCCAAATGATTTTTTTTTTTATAAATTGTACTAATCTTAGCTATAGTTCTAAGCCTAACCCTAACGACAATGACCAAAATTACTTCGTCGGTGAAATAAACTGTCCATGAAATGAACTTGTCTGTATTAATTGTCGATAAAATATGCTTGTCTATAAATTAATTGTCGGTGAACTAAGTTGTTAGTAAAGTGATGGACAGTGAAAATGAAACGCGACGTTAAACACACTGAACAATAATATTGCTATTTTCCTTTTTTTTTTATTACTAGAAAATAAGAGAAATGTTGTATCATTTCTCAAGACGCTACCAATCTGGCCAACTAAGTCATTGGATAAAAATGCTTTCATATCTGCTCAATCTGGAATTCTAATTCCACAAGATCTTCCACTTTTTTCGTCAGAACAAAATTCTAGAGTTTTTAATGCAGAATCTGAAGATGATTTCAATACTCTATTTGCTCTTGAGGTTGAAATATTAGATTCATTAAAATATGTTAAGGACAATCTCATCCCTCATTTAATTGCCTTAGGGCCCACTATTCAATGTTTAGATCTATTAAAATCTATTATCTTATTAAAAAACCAAGACATTGAAAACCATTTGGCATTACACCGCATAATTCCAAATAATTCACTAACGAAATTAGCCAAAGCAGATGAGTTATACGATACTAATATTTACTTGTTTCTTACATCATTTAACGAATCTGATAGTTTTTTACACTCAGACTTACGCTTAAATCATGAATGCTTTGAGGCAGTAAAAAGAATGGGACTGAACTACCAAGTTAACTCACAAAATTTTTTGAAATGTGCTCGTGAAATCCAATCAAAGATAAATAGTAATGTTACTGATACTATTGATTCATCATTATATGTTGTAAGATACTTGTATGATAATTATTCGATAATGAGGTTCTCAAAAAAACAATGGCAAGAGTTGATAACTATAAAATTCATACCTGTTGACATGGATCTTCCATATCCATATGTTGAACATGCAGTAAAAATCTCAACAAAGTTTGAATCATTTGACTCACTACGTTGCCAAACTTATAAGAATCTTTGTTGGACTCAATGCCCATTATTTAATAGATTTATAGATCCACCAAAACCATTCATGAATTTCATGTTAAGTGAAACTGGATATTCGTATTATTATCCACCAATTGTTGAAATTATAAAAAATTTAAGGGTTATTGCTTTGGAAATACCACAATCATCAAACCAATCGTCTTGGAAGTCATCTGATGGAATTAAAACATTTTTGGAAATTTTAGAAGAAAATTATTATACATTAAATCATTTTGTAGAAAATTCAAATGATGCTGAAAATTTAATAAAAAATCACATAAAAGATGAGAAGTTATTCTTAAATAACGATGATCCGTTTAATTCCAATTATTGGGTGGCGGGACGAGATATTGTTTTTGGAGTAGATGATGACGATTTACGTAAGGTTCATCCATTTTTAAACAATTTCAAGAAATTGTTAAAAGCGGTGGGAGCTAAAGAGATAGAAAAAGTTATCTCTAAAGTTAAAGTAAGGAAACATTCTCAGAAGGACGAACTACTTAAAAAATTGTTAGAAAATTTCAGACAACAAGAAGAAATTAAGCATGATGTTGTGTTTCGAGTTGGTGAAAATGGTGCATGCATTGAGGACATCTATGCTAGTCGATATGTTCTTTCAGGTATGTATTTATAATTGGCATGGAATTATTGTATAAATGAATTCTATATTTTTTTATCCATTTATAGCTACATCCCAGCATTTTGATAAGCTTTTAAATGAAAACTTAAATGATCCATGGTCTCAGAAAATTATTGTAGAAATTGAGGGCCAACCTTTAGCATTCCGTATACTAATCCGTTGGTTATATGGTCAACCATTTAAGGAAGCATTTTCTGAAGTTTTTCATTCTAATATTAATAATTCTATTGATAACTCTTCACAACATTTATTACTTTTAATTGGCCTAATTAAACTTACTGATAGATTTGATCTAGATCCTTTGAAAGAGCTTGTGGAAAAAGATTTAATTGAAGGGCCACTTATTAATATTAAGAATGTTTTATCTATCAAAAACTTGGCTCAAGTTAACAGAGCTTTCCAGCTTCGAACTCATTGTGAAAAATATATTAGAACAAATGAAGAGATATTTTAAAATTAGACTATGTAGAAATAACAATTTGGTAAAATTAGAGTAAAGCCAAGACTGATGCTAAAATTTTACAAGGGCATTCTAAGTAATAAATTATGCGTTGGGAATCATTAAAGCCTTAGCCCTAATTTTGCGCAGATTTTTAAAAAAACATTTCTAATCAATGTTTATTAAATGTTGGGGACCATGGGGAACATCGGATCATAGTAACGCCCGTAGCTCAGCCTAAGCTCAGCTACTAAAAAATTTCCTGAACGTGATTTGTAGCCAATTATATTGAAGGATCAGGAGTAGTGATGTGCCATTTATATGGGCTAGGTGCTGAGAAAAGGGCAAAAAAAAGATCTTCGGAAAATCAAATTTTATGTTGTAAATCTTAAACTTTAAACAGCTATATTACAAAATTTTATTAACACAACTACTTTTGAGCCTTAAGTGAAAAATGATCTTAATCTTATTATAAATTGATTTATGCAAAAAAAAGCTTTTGAAAAGTGTCAATTTCGTCCCTTTTCTCAGCACCTAGCCCATATGATACTCGGATTTTTTTAGCGTACAGTACGTATAGTACGTATTAGTAGGATTTTTTTTTATACCATAGTTTCGGAATATTTAGGACCTCATAAATGTTATGGCCTAAACTTCAGAACTTATAAAATGACTCAAAATTTTAGCATACATCATTACTCATACCCCAACTATTCATACACGACAATGTTGGGCGTACATAGTTGCCATCTTTTAGAATGGTATAGAGAACATTCAGCCATTTAAATATTATACCTGAACTATAAGTTAATTTATTTGTAAGTATAACATGCTCATTTCGAGCAACTTTAAACAATTCTTTTTCGATCATAATGATGTTAATATTGCGCTAATAAATTGTATATCCGCCGATTTACGAATTTTCGGAATCAAATTAGTATCAAAATAAAATTATATTTATACCCAAAAGGTTACAACGAAGGGTTTTATTATTATTAGTTGAGTGTTCGGAAATTTATAATTTAAGAGTGCATGACACTATATGACGTTTAAAATCATCCATTCAAGAGTTTGCCGAAACGCTCTTTTTGTTAATAAGTAGCTGCGCAACGTTGTCGCGCGAAACCAGGAACGGGAAAAATCTACGCAGACACCATTTCAGTCATAGGAAATTATATTCTTCATTGCAATCCATTCCTGGTATAAGAAAATGACTCTTTATAAAAGAAGTTAATAGTACTTGCAATCTGAATATTGGTCTGAATTTCAATAACTGAGTCTGAAAACCTATTGTTACGGGTTTTATGATCGAGTTCAGAGATAGGGTAAATGCAACGGATTGTCGCTTGAAAAACGATTATGCCGCGTAACGTTCCTCAAAGATATAGAGACAGTTTTTTGATTTAACACAAGGTCAAGGTGATTAATGAGGAGAGTTACAAGATGAGTATTATGATTTTTTTTTAAAGAGCATATTGTATTGGTTCAAAAGAGCATTTATTAGTTGTATTATTTTGTAAAGATAATACAATTATAAAGTTATATTATTATATGATTCTAAATTATAAGCTTGAACTTTACTTTTGGGAGGGGAAAATTCCATCCTTTTTATAATGAATTGATCATGAGAAGAGCCTGCACAAGATCATGATTATTATTATTATTTTTAATGTTTTTCAACATTTTATTCTAACCTTTACTCCTTCCATACAGTCTTTCATTACTTTAACATTTCTCATAGTTTTTATAAAATCAATAAGAAATGTTTTAGTTTCACTATTTTAGAGTCAGAACCCATCATATTGTCTTCAATCGCATCTTTTTTGACATCACCTCACATCAAACCCAAGTAGGGTAGGTGGAGTTAATATCCATTTTTAGTGTAAACAGGTTGATCTAGGTCAATCTTTCTTTATTTAAAGAAGGTGGTGAAAGCTTATGTATTATTATATGGCTTTCTTAGAGTCAGGCACATATATTGTTATAGGTACCTTTAATTAGATAAGTATGTTACAATGATGTTCATTTCACAAGTTCTATAAGATGTCAGTTTTACCTTTAACTAGAGATAAGAAAATCAAAGTTTTTTTGAATCTACTATGCAGGCTGTACAGCCTGCATAGTCTGTACAACCTCAGTTTCTAGAGCCTTTTACTTATTAGATTTCATGTTTATATATATAAAACATCTACTTCATATATGTAAAGTTAGATTATCATTATTTTTAATTAATGCTCTAAGGTTAATTTAAATATCAGTTTTTGTTATTTGTGTATTTTTTCACTTTTTTCTGCATATTGGTGAATTGATAATTTTAGTCAAATTTACAAATCATTTGACCAGATCTAGAACAAAACAACTTTAAATAAGGTATTATCAATTAAAACAACTCTTTTTTATATATTTCTCATTTTGAGATAATTGAGTTTAATCACTTGTTTTGATTTTTGAACTGATTTATGATTAATAATTTTATAATTTTGATTAGTTAAAGGTAACAAATAATTATTAGGTAATCTTGTAATATGTTGGCCTTAGGCATCAAGGTAGGACATTCCAAATAAGGAACTTTATATTAACTTAGGACTAATAATCATCATATTAGTATCTGATCAAAATTGTAAATTTATAATTATTATTGATAATATATTACTGTATTATTAATTGATAATAATAAATTTACAAATATGATGAAATATTTCTAATAAAATAATTGACACAATTTTAAGATTTATTATAAATAATTTAAGTAATTTATATATAATTTATTATTTAATAAAAATATTTAATAAAAATATGTAATTTATTTATTTATTAAAAATATATTATTTATTTAAAAATACAAGTAAACCTCTCTAAGTGCATCTTCTATAAGTGCACACCTTCTCTAAATGCATACTTATATGCTGATCCAAATATATACTTAACTTCTATAAATGTATATTTTCATATTATTTTTTATATGCATATTATTAAAATGTAGTTTCAAGGGCATGCACTTAAAGAGGTCTAACTAGAGGTCTGCAATTCAGGCTCATGCCTGTGCTTAACAAAAAATTTAGGCATAGGCATAGGCATGGGTATAAAAACATAGGTATAGACATAAGTATAGACTCAAAATTTTTGTATAGGCATAAGCATAAGTACAAAGAATTGGGCACAAGTATATGCATGGGCACAAAAATTTGGCATAAGCATGGGTATGAGTATAAAAAATTTGATATAAGTATAGGCACTGGCACAAAAAATTTGGCATAAATATAAGTATGAGTATAAATACTTAGATATAGGCACAAATATAGGCAAAAACCAGATTTAGTTTTTGTACCTAAATTAAAGTAAGATCCTGATAACCAAATATTTAAACTACTAGCATTACCAACTTAATTAATAAAATATTTTTAGTACAAAAATATTTTATTTATAATAATTGATAAATAATACAATCGATAATTAAATTTTGTATTATAAATTTTAAAACATGTATATATAGTTAAAGCTATGATTAAAGCTATGATTGATATAATAAAAAAGTTTGACTTTAAACTTATTTTTTAACATAATTTAAGAATTAAATTTACTAATTCCATAACTCTCTCTGTAGATCACTTGTACTAAATTTTTGCTGAACATTTAATTATTTCTCAAATTTTATTATATAAACCTTACTTGCACTTTTAAGTAAAATTGTTTAGCTCATGTTTCTCCTTCTAGATGGTTAAGATTTAAGCTTCTGCAACACTTGGCTACTGAGAAAAGTTTCAAAAACCAAAATTCTGATTTGTGCTTATTTGCTCAATATTTTATTAATTAATTACACCTTGTTACCTATTAGAGAAATAACAAGCACTTTATTATGGTTACTTTGATATATATTTTATAGCAAACAAACCAAAACTCACTGAGATACTAAAAATAAGACAAAACTAAAATCTGTCTTTACAGATTATTTTAGTAGTAAATTTAGAAAAATTCATTGGGTTGTCTCAGAAAATTCATTTTTTTAGCACCTATTAAAATTTTCTAAACATCCAACTAGCCTTTCTATTAGTCTCACATTTCTCAGATCCTTTCTAACTTATCTGTAAAGTCTCCAAATTAGAAAATTTTACTTAAAAATTAGATTTTTCAATCTGATTTAAAAATTGTTTGTCACTAGTACAAATATTACACTAGAATAGTTACACAATATGTCTAACATTATCATTATTGAACCAGACTCCTTCGACCTGGATATCATCCAAAACAAATATAGTAACTGAATCTTAGTTACTTTAGACAAAAACTGTAAAAGCTTCAAAGTTCTCCCAACTAACTTTAACTCTACATAATGCAATATTAACAATGGCTATTACTTCCTCTCCAGTCCTACTCAATCTATTATCTCAAGATGTCTCTATAGAAAATATTATACATACTTCACTTCACAGCATTTATCTTTACTACCTATTTCTGATACCATTTCTACAACAGCAACTGAGTCATCTAATTTAATAGAAATTGATCTAGATGCTAAATTCTACAAATCTCTTCATAATGTACCAAAGTTATTCTTTTAACCCAAACACAATATTGCCAACTTATTTACTAACTGCTATAGCAATAATAGACAAAATACTAATAACTAAATCTCTTTTATGTACTAATTTTATCATGCACACACATGCATCATTTGCAAAACCAAAGATGTATCCTATATTCATTAGATTCAAAAGCCTTTGTTTTTAAAACTGAAGTTGGTGGCTTTTCTGCCCACTCCTAATGTATTCACAAACTCAAACTAAGACTAGCCAAATTTATAAGCCCTATGAACTGAGAACAACATAGCCTTTATTGCAAAATCAAATATTTTTAATTATCTGCAGAAGACAAATGTATTTTCTTTAAAAAATTTCTAGATAAGCTTCCCAAAAGACTAAAAATACTAACAATCAATTAGATAACAATTCTAATTCAAAAGAAACCTTAAATAATAGCAAACAAAATATAGATAACAATAAATAACCTAAACAAAAAACAAATACTTAGAAATGTGATACTTCTAAAAACCTCAACTGATTTAAAAAATATCCTATTACTCCAACTATGCAACAATATAATAAACTTAATACCTCACTGGCCCTATAATTATTTAACCTTTTGAAATCCACTTTAGAGACTTTATTCCTAGACAAGTTATTTCCAATAAATTCAAAAATGACAAAAATAACAACAGACCATTTGTCAAATTCTTCTTCAGCTATATTCTTAATAAAATAGCAAGTGAAAAACCTAAGTTCTTACCAGAGTTCATTATTAACTCAAGTTTTGACTTTGATAAATCAAAGCCAATCCCTTTTAAAGCTTTTCATAATACTCTTAAAGGCTTACTTTCCAAGTTTACAGAAGTTTTTTTCACACAACTGAACTATCTACATATTCTCTAATCACACTATACTATCCTACCCTACTTATATACTAACAGATATAGAGTTGTCATAAACCTAGTCCATTTACATCTTTATCTAAACTATAAATATAGAACTATTAATTTTGAAGAATTTATGAAAAAGCTTAACATTAAATCATTACGATTTACACTTACTTTGACATTAAACATAGCTCTAAGCAATTTGAATTCTTAATCCAAAATAACAACCGATTTAATATTAACACAACTCTCAACATTCCATCCAAAAAAATTTTAAAAGACTTTAGAATTACATTACTTAAGCCTCATATTACAACTTATAAAACCTGGTTTAAATCCTTTTTTAAAAAATACAGTATCCAATTCAAAAAAATTGATCAACAGAAAACAAGCAATTATATTAAAATGTTAATATCACAAAAATTAACAGAAGAATACAAAAAACTACTGCCAATATTATACTCTCTACCAACCCCATTATATACCCTTAAAGAGTGCTCTAAAGTAATCTTCAAAGTGGCACTTCATCACATTCACCTTTGTACTAACAAAGATTGTGATCTACTATCCAAACCAACTGAACATAATTTAAGAAATATATCTAAATTTTATTTTACTAACTTCTTCAAAATCCATCCAGTACCAGAATCAGAACAAAAAGAATAGGTATACCCAATCCTAAAAACTGATATCTTTTATTCTAAACAAAAACTCACAACAAGTTTTTCTATTTCAACACTTACAAAAGAACTCAGAGGCCTAGTAATATCTACTGAAAAAACTTTTGCAAAACTCAACAAAGTGAAAAGTAATACAGCCTGATCTTTATATTATTTCTACTAATACTTAAGAGCCTTTATCTTAGCAGCTAGAGATAATGATGGACTTCAAGTCTATTCCAGAAAGAAGCCCTAGAAAAAATGATCAAAACAACTAATAACATTCATACTCTCGCAAGAGTTATTACATAGTTCAAATTAGAAATGGAATCCAAAATATTACTTAAACAAATATGTATTAATTACAACCAATTTTACTACATTGCAGCTGAAGATTTCTTGATAAAATACCTTAAAATTTCAATCTCAGAACAATACAAAGATTCTCTTTTCATACAGAACTCTAAGCTATATACATTTCAAGAAGTAGATGAGGATACACCTATACTCCCAAAGAAACAACAAAAGTAACAGAAAACACTACTCTTACCTTGTAAGAGGAAGGTGTAAATTCTTCTTTTCAGTAATGTCTTCTATAGAACACATTGATGCAACTGCCACCTCTAAAACTATGATGTTCTCTACATTTGGGTCATCTTTAAAAGAGAATGATAACAATAGGCAGGCAGTAAAGCCTAGTGTGAGCAAATCTATAGAAGACATTATATATAATGTCTCTGATACCAATATTTCAACTCCTTTAGAAACAAATACTTGTTATAACAAATTTTTAAAACAATACCATCTACCTTTATTACCACATCCTATAACACTTAAATATTTCATCAAACACTTATGCCAAAATCTTTTCTTTGATTCAATCAAAATATCAGTTATTCTTGATAATACAGAAACACATGTTTATACTAAAGTTACAGATCCCACCATTTCTAATTATACAGCTATAAATTCTATTTGATATAAACCTATAAACATTTACCTATTTTAATATCTCTAAACTAAACAACATCAACCCATAATAGCCATCTTTTTTCAAACCACAATATTTCAAAAATACAAATTAGCAATAACCAACTTCACTTATTAATTAGTATACACAATATTTAAGGATTTAATAAACCTGAAACAACAAGTATGCGAAGTCTACTGTTTTTCTAACAATCTTAGCATTATTAGTATAATAGAAACCAAAATTGCAGCCAACAACCCAATTACTAAACTACAAAAATCCAAATACTTTACATATTTATAGTCATGCACTGAAGGCCCTAAAGCAGGCACAGCTATTATGATACACAAGTTCATAAAAACTCATATTCATAAAATAGTTATCTCTCCTAGATATGCTATTATAGTAGACATTCTTTTTAAACATAACTTCAAATTCAGAATCATTTCAGTTTACTTATCATGTGATAATACTTAATTAAAACTGTCAGTACAAAATATAGTAATACAATGGCTCCAACAAGCCTATGCATCAAATATCCAATCTATTGTTCTGAAAGACTTTAATGCCTCTGATAAAATCACTTACTCTTCATCAACTAAATATAAGTTACTTTATTTTCTACAATACAATAACATGTATAATCTGACTATGTATACTAATAATTCAACACCTACTTGGCAAAGCAACAGATACCAGAGTAGCATAGATTATATCTGTGTTAATCAACCTCTCCTTCAATATCTTATCTCTTTTACTACAGATGATTCCAATACTAGTACTCAAAGTAATAATAAAATTTTAAACTCATGCTAGCTTTTTCTTTATGCAAATATAGGTAAACTCAAACATCTTACCAAAACCCATAGAAGAACATTTTTATACAAAAACATGGACAAAGAGAAATGGCAACAATTTGCAGATCAAGTAACTGCAAACTTTAATAATAATAAAACTCCATTTAGCACACAAACCTTAGAATTACTAGAATTTTCCTGGCACAAAATTCAAAACAGTATCATCTTTGCTGCAATACAACATATTCTAAATAAAAAATTCACTGTCAGAAACAGTCAAAATATCTTCTCTACAAAAGTATCATCTTTATACCAATATCTCAAGAAATTAGGCAATATTATTAAACAAGTTAAATAATCACTAAAAAACTCTACTCCTATATCATATCAACATAATCACCTTATTAATCAAATAAATACATCTAATTAGCTCAATGTTCTACTTTTATCAACTATTCACAACTTATTGCCAAACTGGCTAGCACTTGCTAAAATGGAATGGAAATCTATTTATCATGTTCACAATATAGAAAATATCAAAGAAATAAGAC